ATCAGAAGAGCGAACATGCAGCCCAAGCTGATGTCTCTCGAGAGAGTGTAACTGGCCTTGGTCTCTCGGGGTGGATGGCTGTCCCTCTCCCCCACCATCCCCTAGTGCAATGTAAGCAGATGTGTAACGGAATTGGTAGTCAGAGTTGTCCCACAGGGACACTGCATTAGTGCCACTTCACGTGTCTCGGAGGAAAGCACACGGTAGCCTTCACCCTCCCAGCTGGTTAGCAGTGTGTGATATGTGGGAATTGGCCATAACTAAATTGAGAGAAAATTGGGTAAACACAAAACTAATGTTAAAAAATTAAAAACCAAAAAAATTCAGTATCAGTGACAGCATGTTTTCATTGGTTGAATGCTACTGCTGACCATCCATTTAAACCTGTAGATCCCTGTATGGACTAACTCTTAGAAAACATGTATAGAAATGTGAAGAGAGTGAGTCAAATATCTGCTTTCTTGCATCATAAGTCAAGCATTCATAGGGCAATGACGTTTTGGGATTTTATGGGTTACTGCACGGTGAAGGGGGATTGTTTTATGTCACTCAGCGGAAAAGGTGGACGTCATGCGTAAGCCAGTCAATAAGCCATCTTCATGTGTCCTCATCTGCAAAAATACGGCTTAACAGACAACAATCCGATTCACAGGAAGGCTTTGTCACTTTAAATGAGTATAGATTTTTAGATAACTAGAGAGAGAGAGTGACAGAGAGAGAGACTAAATTAATTACATACACTATTGCTAACTAGATGCAACGAAAAGAAAAACATTTAATTTTCCCAACAAGTAATACACACACACACACACACAGCATCTAAACCGCTCATCCTTCTGGGTCGTGGTGGGGTGCTGAAGCCTATCCCAGCTGTCATTGGGCGGAAGGCAGGATACAAGTAATACAGTTATAGTAAAAGATTTAAGATTAAGATGGACACTTAGGGAAAAATCCCATTAATATTCCAAGTGAAACTGCGATGTTTTGTCAAAATATGGAAAGTATGTCATTAAATTTGAATGACATTGATTTTGTATGCATGTTAAAGGTCACACTGTCAGGATAGATCGAGTGTAGTTTGCTTTTGTGGAGCATTCACGCTAACACTAGCATGGTGAAAAAATGTGTCATTGGCTAGTTTTGATTAGCTACAACAACAGCGTCCAGGGCCCGGTTTCCTAAAAGCATCTTAGTGTTAAGAACATCTTAACTGGTAAAGAGGGTTCAGTGTGATGCTCGCTCTACCACTTTAAGACTCGTCTTTGCGCCAAGAGGCTTTCGGGGAACCCAGCCCAGCTTAGTATCACCTGTAGGAACTCTAAACTGGCAATAAAAAGACCCTACCTGCCCAACTAACTACACTGGAAAACTTGTTTGTTGTTGACCATGTGGTAATAAGCAGTGTGGTCATAAATGTTCTGAATGAAAAACTGCAAAGCAACTTAAGTCTATTAGATGAACAAAAGCAATATTTTACATAAATTCAAATCTTTAACATGTTTAATCAACTTCTGCTCGGTTCCACAGTTTACAGTGTATCATTCTATATATCTCTGTCTAGCTATCGTATGAAAAGGCTCAAATGTGAGGGTGCTTTGTAGTGTGAATAAGCAGGCAATGCGTTTCTCACTCTGCAAACAGCCCTGCTGGAGAGCAGAGCTGATTATTTGGCGCTGGTGGTCACGGCTGTGGTCACGGCAAAGAGAGCCACTAGTGCTGCTGCAGACCAAAGAGAAAAGCCGACGGCCAGAGAGATCGGTCCAGTTCTACTGGGCAGAAATGCCCACTCAAAACCTCAGAGGCCAAAAATATGGGGCACACCTACATTTACTCAGGTTGTACACGTGTATGTGTGTGAGTGTGTCGCTGCAAGAGTGAGAGAGTAACAGAGGATCTTTTACACCATTCACATCACAACACCACTAAACATAATTATTTCTATAGTAGATTAATCCAACGACTACGACTTCGATTCTACATCATCCTGTCTCACTTTGCCCAGCCACAGCGCTGCCATGCTTCAAATTTCAATGCAGTATCCACTTGATGGTGCGACAAAACAAGAGAAGCCATGTCGCCCCCTACACTTCCTGGTGCATAGTGCAATCTGTCAGAATGAATGTGTGTATCAGTGCTTTTGTTTTTAAGTAGAGTCACTCTTTTCCATAATCAACCTGTAATTGATACTGTCAACAAGTATTGCAGTTATGCTGCTACATGTTTATGTAAATGCAAACAATCATGTGGATTAACATTAAAAATGCTGCTACACCCTCCTAGCGTTGATAGTATCGTGTGATTGGGGAAGTCCTAACTAGCGGGTGGAATTGGAGACGACTAAATTGGGGAGAAAATCGGGTAAAAATTAAAAAAAAAAAAAAAATGCTGCTACGTTTAGCTCGTGGCCCTCTTGCATTACCAGAGAGCACTTGTAGTTCTAGCTGTAGCGATCACTAGCTCAGTCTGTGGAGGTCAGGTTGAAGCACTGTGGCATTCAGACTTTATCCAGTGATAACAAAAGTATGATGTTATAACTGGTGATTTTCATGATGAATAAAGGTGAATAAATGTTTTATTTCTCCTCATTCATAGCTTGATGAAAAGGTTCTACTGAAAGTGTGAATTCAGTTTGAATGGAAGTGAAGAAGGAAGACTAGAATTTGATGAAAAGCTATTGCTGTGTGCACAAAGAAAAAACATGCTTCACAAGTTTTCTGACATCGAAACTAATGAATAAAAGTCAGAAGTATAGATCTGAACGTGATGTAAATTTAATGTAAATTTAATTAATTACATAACTATGTAATTAATCACACTATTTGTGTTTTAATCAGTGGCAAACCATGATTATTACAGCTAGGGCCATAAATTCTCACATTTCAGTCAAAAACAATACTTAACAATAATGCTAGCTTCCCTATGCTAGTAGTTTGTTAACACCAAGCTAAAGGTTATTTTCACATGAACACTTTCTGATGAGGCTGATGTTTCTTTTCAAGGCTTATCTTATCTTACTGGTGCAGCAGGTACGTTCTGTTGTAACTGCTACAGCGATTAAGGTGGAATGGAACATGCGTTGGCACCAGAACGCCAAGGTGGGATGGAAAATTCAAAAAGCAGCTCTAAATTAAACACAGACATCTGAAGCTTCCAATAGACATTCCATGTTTCACTTGAAGCTTGTGACAGACATATTAGCTATTATTCTACCTTGTAGCAGTTTCACAGCTTGAACCTTTTAGTAGTGAGCTCTGACATAGAGCTGCTGCTGCTGTTCTCCGTTTCTAACAACCCACTGATTAGGCTGCTGTTTGTATTCAGTCAGTTACTTATCTAGAACTTCCAGAAGGCTATGAGTGACTTCTTTTCCCATCACAAAATTGGTCCAACCAATTCCTCTGCCACTTCGTAATTATGCTGATAGGTAATCTAAGGCATTAGGCCTTCAGTTCAGCTCCTAAAGTCGTAACCTATAGGAGAGCTCATTTAGCTATATATCCCGATACAATGAAGCAAAAACGTGTTTTAAGAATTTAACCATTTTCTTTCCATCCAAAACTTATATTGCAACAGAAGTAGTACCGTAAATCTAGCGGTAGAGTTTAAATCCAAGCATGATTCTTATGAATTAAAGATAAACAGTAATAACAAGAAATAAATGTACCCCTTCAAAGTTGAGAGTTATTACTGATATTTTGTAATATAATTAAAATCATAGGGGAGCCCCTCAGGATCTTCTAAAAGCATATTCACAACAGAATGAATGAATAAAACAGCAGTTAAACCTATAAGCCTAAATCAAATGCAGCAAAAAAGCAGAATTTACTTGATTTGAATGTGTACATCACCAACACAGTTTTAACTTCTAGATTAGTTACTTTTTGTCAATAACTGTTGCTTTATTCGTGTGGAAATTACACACATTGTTTTAAACAGTGTGAAAATACAGTTTAATGTTTGGTCTAAGGGTTTCCAAAACCATAGAAATGTGTTCTTGTGAACATGGGAGCGAAAATAGAGGGAGGGAGGTTTTTTTGGACTGAGGCGAATGAGCAAGGGAGAAAGAAAGCGAGAAATGGATAGATGGATGAGGACAGAGGAACGCATGAGGGAATGATAGCCTAAGAGAAGTGAAAGAGCGCGTGGGGAGATAATGCGCTAATCGAGATTGAATGATGCGAGTGGCGAAAACGATGGAGTCGAGCGAGGGAGCGAGAGAGCAGCGCTCCGGAGGAGGAGGGAAAAAAGGCGATTTAATCAAGCGTGGGAAAGTGGCGGTGGGGGGCGGTGCAGATGCAGCAAGAGCGAGACGCAGAGTTAACGGGCAAATAATGCGTAAAAACGCAGAGATCACTTGGAGAGGAGAGAGGACGGAGCTAGAGCCACGTTTTAGAGAGAAAGACAGTGAGCAAGAGAGATGGGGGGGGGAGAGACAGAGAGAGAGAGAGAGAGAGAGAGAGAGAGAGAGAGAGAGAAACAGAGAAAAGAGAGAAAGAGAAAGAAAAAGCAAGGGACAAGGAAAAAAGATAGAGGGAGAAAGACCGAGATTAAAAAAAAAAGAAAGAAAAAGATGTGGGAGAGAAAGCGAGCGAGAGATAGAGACAGAGACAGTAAGAAAAAGAGAAAGAGGAGACAGAAAAGAGAGATAGAAACAGAAATAAGATGGAGAGAAAGAAATAAGATGAATACAGAGAAAAAGCAAGAGAGAAAGAAAAAGACTTATAGAAACAAAAAGAGACAGACAGAGATGGAGAGAGAGAGAGAGAGAGAGAGAGGGAGAGAGAGCCCAACAAAAAAAGCCAAGAGAGTCCTCAAACTTTTAACCCAATAAAATCTACGGCTTCTCGTTTACAGCATGCACCACTATGACAAACCTGTATTTCCTCACTCTGAGTTTTCTCCATCTCCTTCTTAAGCATGTGCACAGTTTCCTAAACAGGATTTAGTGTCCGAAACCTTCACCCACCCACCCGTTCGATCCCCCACTCACACTCACTCACCCGGGCATATTTGGACGAGTACGGATCCTCAAAGAGCGCCCAAATGCGCGGCCGCCACACGCTCCACCAGCTGGGCTTGCGGCCGTCCTCCTGCAGGCAGAGGCGCTTCAGGTCGCCGTCGGCGCCGCCGGTGAGCGCCGGGTCGTCCTCAGGTGGGTCGGGCTCGGGCGTCTCAAAGCTGTCCAGGGCCTCCTCAGCGTCCCGGTGCTGCCGGTAGTTCATCCAGCAGCAGGCTTCCACGTCCGTCTCATCAATGCCCCAGAAGGCGAGCTCTTCTTCAAAAAGCGGCCCGCACACATCGTTAGGGCAGTGCAGCTTGCCTGTTCTATAGTAATTGAGTATGAACGCGAAGGTGTTGGGGTGCCGGTCGAAGAAGAACTCGTCTGACTTCGGGTCGTAGTCGAAGTTGCTGAAGGCATCCGGCTCCGTCAGCCACGACAGGCGCGTGCCGGGCAGCGTTTTTAGCGTGCTGCGGTACGTCTCGTGTCGAATACCCCCGCAGTTGATCACGATCTTTTCGTTGTCTGACGGACAAGTCATGTCGGCGCTGTAACATGCTTTGTTGGACGACTTGTTCCCACCCTTGCGCCCTTTGAAAGAGGAGACACACACCGAACTGAGCATAGAGGAGGACGGGGAGGGGGGGAGGAGAGAGAGAACAGAGAGGGGAGGGGGGAGGAGGAGCCTGCAGAGAGAGAGGGATAGCATGAGAGAGAGAGAGAGGGGGAGAGGAGAGAAGAGATTTGTTAAAAGGATGCTCAACACAGCAAGTTACATCTACCTGCTTCCATCCTATTTTAGTGCAAAAATCTTAAACCTAATGTATTTAAAAGTGATGCACAATGACATCTCAATTACATGATAACTGTCTCAAAAAATTATCAGCATCACACAGATGTTTTACAGATTTGCCCTGTATTTCAAACACATATTTACTGCACTCCAGAGGAGCTGAATCTTTAGGTGACGCTAGCCTACTGAGCTAAAACATCTACATCTAACTGAGTTTAGCTCATTTGTAAGGACATTAATGTTATATTTCTCCATAATGCTAATAGATGTAGACTCAATACATACATCTTATAAATGCTTATGAATCAGCATCTATATTGACATTGGCAGACATGTACATGAAAATATGAGAAAATATCCATATCAGCCCACAATTACAATTCGTTCCCTCCCTCATATTCAAACATACATGACGTATTTGGTGCTTCTTTAGTTTTGCACTTGAGCTGTAGGGCTAATGTACCTAACAAGTAAAGGTCAAAAAGGGGACAAAATGGCCAATTATTGTGGTACCACGATAAAGTATATCACAATATGCTTTTCTGATCATACTGTGTATATCGTCAGTACTTAGAAATACTTCCCAACTGCACATTTAATTACAAAAAGCATTATTAGTCCTGAAACTGCAGTCATGGTTTTGATAGTTTTTTTTGGGTTTTTTTTTAATGTGGCACTACTTTGTCTGATCAGATGTCCAAAAAACATGACATTGTGTATTGTGAAGACTTGAAAATCGTAATATTATGTTTTTACTGTATCGCCCATCTCTAAATACTACTAATGCTAATGATATTACTGGTTTTAGCTTTAGCCATATTACGGATCACTGTTAAACAGCGTCAGAACCCACATAAGAAAGTCTATTAGACATTCCTTAACAGCTCAACGCGGATGTGATGATTTAGGTATGCAGTGCTAATCTGTGTACAAAACGGTCCATTACTTGTTAGCTACATTAGCATCGTAGCTCCAATGCAAAACAAAGGAAACAAACGTCATGAACCAAACACGTCTTGGCTGAACGACTACATTTGGGATAATTTTCACACAAAAGATTTGCTTAAAGACCAACCAAGCCCATGCTAATAGAGCTGGTACTACACAGATAACTGTAAACATCCATAACATATAAGAATTTCAGTATTATCTTGCACTATTAGCCATGCTAGACACCAAACATGCTGTTCAATTATTTCTTGTGTAAATTTGAGTTGATCTTATTTCTGCATAATTCAATCTCTGAGATACAAACAAACTCATTCAGAGTGGTTTGGTGTGAAATTATAGAGAAACATACAGACTGATTTCTGTACAGTGGTGGTGACAGGAACCAGGGGTCACAATGTCTACAATGCAAATATAACCATTTTATTTCACTAAATGAAACAACTAGATAACCATCATGTGTCTTCTGAGTTTTTATATGTAATGCTGATGGTGATGTAGTGGAAAATTTAAAAAAATAAGTTTTCTTTAAGGACTATTTTGCCTCGCATGTTCCTTGAACTTATTTAAGAAATACGTTTTAGCCAGAAACTGTCTAAAACCAGCATAAAACAATGTCGTCAGACTGAGTATTCACACCCATTTTAAGTAATAACATTCTGTAAGTTATCTTTAGGAGCATTAAACTCTTTCAGACGTCTAGTTCTGATCGCCACCACTGTAAACAATGCTTGTTTCTCCAGTTTCTCCAGAACTGAGCATTTCAAATAAAACCACTCATCAACCAATGACTTTGTTTACACCTCGACGGTTTAATTATATAGATTTTTTTTTATAAAAAATTGGTGGAGTTCCCCTTTAACTATATAGGTGGCCAATCTACAATTTCAGCACTAGTCTACTTACACTAACTAGGCATTGTAAAGCTGGGCAGAAGGAGAATCACAAAGAACTGACCAAAAAAACACAGGTTCTCTACATGCATGTGACACAGCTGAACTGATAAGAGCAGCAGAAAACATCAAATACAATCACAGAGGTTACAGTTAGAGACACAAGAGAAATACGTTTTTTCTTCATATTTCAAACATGTACTCTACATGTAATCACCCCTCGGGCTGAGAAGATGACAGGTAGATGAATGCGCGCTAAAATGTTAGGACATTTTAAATGCACACGTGCTACACGCGCTGACAGACGCTCGAGAGCTGAGTGATATCTAATGCGGAGCAGCTGGGGGTTGTCATATATGCTTTAAATATTGCATAACAAATAGGTTTCCCTTATGAGGGTCTGTTCTCCTCCACTGCCTCAGCTATCTCCCCCACCCCTCCATCACCATGCTCGGAGCGTAACCAATGAGGAGAGAGGGGGAAGCAAGCGGGAGGGGGAAGACAGGAGAAGGAGGAGGAGGAGGAGGAAAAAAAAAAACCTAAAGGTAGAACGATTATTTGCTGAGCTCCACAAAATGGGGAGAAAAGACTGCAGAGCATTAACTCTCTCTCTCACACTCTCTCTTTCTTTCTCTTCCTCTATCTCGCTCTCTCACACTCACAGTGCAGTACTTCAACGTTATGCAGTCCATTCAGAACAGAGTACGCTGTTAACCCCTTCAGTGCTGGTATAAAGACGATGAAGATCTACAAATATCTATGCATATAATCTAGGGGTGCAAATTAAAACTATACCTATTGCAATTACATTGGAACATAATGCAGTTACAATACACCTTGGAATATATTAATAATACACTGGTAAATCAATAATGTGACATTATGCAGGATAAACCTGCAAAATATAGCTACTGAAATTGTACTGCTACACACTGTGACTTGATATGCCTTGCAATATATTAAAATTGTACAGGTGAGTCAATAATGAAACATAATTAAGGATAAACCTGCAAAATATAGTTACTGTGATTATATTAGTGCATACTGTGACTGTGATGTACTTGATTGTGATATATAATGTATCAATAATGTGACAGTTCAGAGCTGGCCTACAAAATATATCAACTGTGATTGTGTTGGTAACATACCAAACATACCGCAATACACTAAAACACACACTAAACTCAATATGGTATTGGTCTGAATTATTCTGACCAAAATAATCCACGTTTATTGGATTACAAGAACACCTTGACCACCATCTGCAACTGTGATTGGTCAGGATGTTTACAGCAAAACAGCAGAAAACCCTATGACTGGTTAGAGGCTGAATTGCATACTGGAGCCCTCTGTGATATCATTATTGCAAAGGCCAATAATGCTATAACATCATAAAAACGACAGCTATCTTGTACAGCCACAGTATTGCTAAGCTAGGCTAAAGGACAAACCTTAGCTAGTAAATCCTAACTGTTACAGCAGTGACCTCTCTCCCCCTCTGTCTCTCTCTCTCTCTCTCTAACGCACATGCTCTTGCATTAGTGCTGCACTGTGTGCAGGGAGGAGGGCAGCAGTGGAGAAGTGAATGATTTTCTGCTGCAGTAAAACAAAGAATGACTCCTCCTCCTCATCTCCTCCTCCCCATCCCTCTCTCCTCTCTCTGAATGGCTAAGGGACCTAAATGAGCTTCCTTTCTTTCTCGTTCTCTCATAATCCCTTACTCTCACTTTCAGGTTCCGCACAAAACACGTAGATTACAGTGAGCAGTCTGACCTCTCCCTCTCCCTCTCTTACACACACACACACTACTAGAGCTAGGCAATATGAACTTGAAGCTCATATCACAATATTATCTACCAGCCAGACTAGAGATGTAAATGTGTAACTAATTAACTGCAAATCAACAATTATTCAACCAATGCTATTGGTTAAAAAAAGTTGATTTAGTTATATTTAATTTTCAATGTATTTTCAACATGCATTTAATCTGATGACTGCAGAAAATCAGATTCTCAGTACTTTGTTAAATGCTTTTACATGGACTTGGGCAATCAGATAATGGGTCTACATGAGCCAGTCAGTAATTTGATCTCTGCTTTGCAACCTGCCAATAAACCCACAGAAAAAGACGTGATGTAAACGTCATGTAAAACTCTGACATCATGCCACGGCATTTTATTTTTAACCGAGTCACTTTAGCAGAAAATACAAATAATCACCAGTTAATGATTAACTGCCAACTAATAGAGGCTGGTTATCAGTCAATAGAATTTGCATCCCTAATACAAACAATAACACTACGATATCACAGTACACCGAATAAATAAATGAATTAATGAATTATCTATAATAATAACAACAACAAGAAGCTATTAGAATAAGTCCATGGGCAACTGGATGCCACAAAATACCACACTACATAACTCTAATGTGGTATCTGTCTCACTGACACATAAAAGCCAGGTGTAAAAGTAATTTTTTTTCCCCCAAATAGTTTTATTAAAACACATATCTCCTCAAGCTTACACATGATAGATCGCCGAATCACTAGTTTGAACACCGCCCTACCAATTATCATCACTGTCACCTCGCCTTCTGTGTAAATTTACCTTCACAACTAAAATAAACACTTCAGCATACATTATCAACCCAGCAAAGAGGGCTTTAAAATAACCACTTCACTATGAAACAGCATTTACAATGAGTCAACATCAAAGAACCAGCACTATCGTCTCACGTCTTCTGTGAAAATTTGATGGCAGCAGTCTGTATTTTAAATGCAAAAAAATAATAAAAAATCAAACAAACTGGAAGACCAACAAAGCTCTAAACTAGAGCTATCACGATCATGACATCTTAGCTGACAACTGATGGTCATGAGTATTTGTGATTAACAATTTTATTGTCTTTTAATGGCTCTTTATCTGAGTTCAAAAGTGGCCAAGTTGGCTTTTTTAGCCATCTGACTTCCAAGCTATGTTTGCTAGCCACTGGTGCAGCTCACTAGCTGTAGTAGTCATGTCACACTTGGTACACTATACTGTTGTGTGCG